AAAAAATAGCCTTGTGATATAGTTAATGGCTATAGCTATCGGTTGGATCCTAATCTGTAACCTTGATCACATTATTTTGAATAGAAGCTTTGGCACAATAAATCCAAGGAACTGGAATAACTGAAAACCTGTTTGGCAAGTCCTGAGTTGAGAAGTAGCAGTGATTTTTGATGATGCTACAGGAAGACTGAATTTGAAACTGAGACTGAGATCGGAAAACCTAGCGACCAGATTCTTAAGTGGGGACATACCAGCCAAACCACCGGCTTGCTACTGGAAGAAAAAAACTTGTACTCCGGAAGCATGTACCAAGGGAAGGGAGACTATAAGTAGGGCTGTTAAAAGTCCGGTCCTATCGGTCCTGACTCACAAATAGGGACTTTTGATTGGGACTCAGTCCTTGAGTCGGTCCTTGCATATGATAACGTGATTACTAATACCATCGCTATATAGATAATCAATAACGATAATTTATATCTTTAACCTTTATTATACTTTCTTTACTGCAGTACTGCTTATTGCTAAAAAATACATATATATAAAACAATTTTATTCTACATTTATTTTTAGGATTCCTGCCTCAGACCAACTCTTTATACATAAAGAAGCTCTTGTTGATTCTTCAAGAAGGCTGCTTCTTTCAAGATTTAAAGTATGTTTGGCCACAGAAAAGGCACGTTCGCAGGGAACGCTTGTAGCCTGTAGTGCAAAATAATTAGCTGCCATCAAAGCTACATTTGGAAAGTAGTTGGCTTTTGTTTTCCACCACCACAGTGGATTAGTGTTTGGCTCTGGAGGTAGTGAAAGATAAGTGGCTAGTTCATTCGTTGTAAATTCCTTATTTTTATTTGAATTTCCCAGATTCCGAAAATATTCTAAAGGATCTTGTTTAGGCTCTATTTCCTCTCTATCTATGTGGTGAAGAAAATAAGAGTTTTTTAGACTTTCAATAGCCGATTGGCGTTCTTCTTCAGTAAAGGTTTCGAACTTAACAGACGGATCAAGGAGAGTTGGAATAGCTGAAGATTGTGAGAGATAAGTCCAGTATTTTGTTATTTTTTTTTTTGTTTCTTGAGCTGCATCACGATATATACTTATATTTGTTTCCCCAATATAGGAGTTAAGATGTGTTAAAAGTCCTTGAAAAATTATTCGTAATGAACCATGTAAGGGTAATGAAGTTTTGGATAACTCTAATGTGGCTTTGTAAAAGGGTTCAAGAAACTGTACTATTTCCTTAACTATTACCCAATCTTCAGCATCTAAATAATCTTCTTTTAAAGTAGGATGAAGTCTTACAAGATTATCTATAATATCTTGAATTTCAATAAATCGTTTAATCATAAGATAAGTAGAGTTCCATCTTGTCTCAACGTCAAGCTCAGGATGGAGAAATGGGCGATTATAAATAGCAAAAATTCTCTTTATCTCATTCAAAAGCGAAGGGGAATTTCTAATCTTATTACAGATACACCGCACCTTTTTTATCTGTATGTTATAATATTTTTGGCCATCTTTGACTGCGAGGTTCAAAATATGTGCAGCGCATCGTATATAAGTGAAATCTGGGTTGATATGATTTTGAAGATAACTTAAGCACATTTGATTATTAGAAGCATTATCTCCAGTAAAACCCTATTGCAGTAATAGATTAATAATGTTAAAATATTAATACTTGTTTTTTTTTGTTTTTTTTTTATCAATACATATTAAAGTATTTATATATAATACTTACTATAATTTTATCTTTAATCTCTAAATCTTCAATGACCTCAAGTACTTTTTCACCGAGATACGCACCAGTATGAGAGTCGTGTAAAGGAATGAAATCAAGAAGAAGGGTTTTCATTTCCCACTCTGCATCGACCCAGTGGATAGTAATACCGAGGAATTGTTGTTTATTACATGCTGTCCAAACATCGATAGTAAGTGCTAGTTTGCTACGATTTGATTTTAATATATGTTTTATTTCTATTCTTATAGATTCAAATTTATTTCTAATAGTTGTAGAGACTGTTTGACGGCATGGAAGCTTATATCGTGGATCAAGATTTGCAACAAATTTAATGAAAGAATCTTCATCAACTATTGAAAATGCTAACTGTTTCTTAATTATTAATTGATATAGATCGTGATTTAAAGATTTTATACGATCTTTGCTAACTTTATCAGTCGTTGAATATGAAGAATGGGTAACTTTTGCATTTTTTTGTTTGAAATCTCTATAGAGGCTTGGATGCTTACTTTCGAAATGGCGTGATATCGTCGATAAAGATGTACCTGGACTCCATTTACCGGGCTCCTTAATGCCAGGAATGTTAGGACATACTTCACAAACACGAGTACCATCTTCAAGTTCCTCTAGATAATCATGAATGGGTGCTGTTCTTTTTTTTGAATTTTTTGTTTTTTTGTTTTTAATAACATTATTAATAGTATCGTTTTCTGAGTAACTTTCATGAATATTTTCATCTGGAAGATCAGGAATTGAAGAAACTGAATCAGGAATTTCTGAAGAAACAGAATCGAAAACCTCTGAAGAAACAGGGCTAGAAATTGGAGAAGTGGAATCGAGAGTTAAAGAAGCAGGTAAACTAAAGCTAGACATTGAAAAAGATTTATTAGAAAACAAATTTGATGCTTATGTTTTTTTAAAAAATAATAATAAAATTGAGTTGCAAAAAAAAAATTCGAGACTTTTTATTTCTAATCTGAGTTATTGTTGCTATTCAATAACTTAATGTGGTATTTTAATGTTTAGTCGTGTAATAATTTAATCTCGATGCATAATTTAATTAACTGATAATAAAAAAAGAAACACCACTTCTATAAACAATTACGATTGTTAATCATAAAACATAAGGACAATTGCATTTGGAATCTTACTATTTTTTTATTTAACAAACGCACCATTAATGATATTTTTTATAAGCGAAGTTCATAATTTATTCCGAATTCGATATATTTGTTATTATGTATAATAAATTAAACTATTTACAAGCTGCCGTGATTGTTAATCATAAAACATAAGGACAATTGCATTTGGAATCTTACTATTTTTTATTTAACAAACGCGCTATTAATGATATTTTTTTATAAGCTAAGTTCATAATTTATTCCGAATTCGATACCATTTTTCAATTGTCCGAGTAATTTTTTTA